ACTGACAAGACCACCAAGAAAGGAAATCCCTCCAAGCAAAGAATTACATTTGGCTTTGGAATCCCTATTCCAAGACCACTTGCTTACAAGGATTTAATTCACAAAATTGCAGAAATTGATATTGGAGAACTTATTTCTGTAAGAGAAACCTTGTGTGCTACCTTACCCCCAGAACAGAAAGTTGCTGGTGTGTACAGAGACTTAGAAAAAATGCTTCTCATCCTGAGCAAATTCTATCTGGAAACAGATCCCATGAGAAAGGACGATGAAAGACTGTCTTGGTTTGGTAAGAAGGGTGCTTTCAAAGTAGCAATAGGTGGTGACGGTGCCCCCTTTGGTAAATGGGATGAGTCCATGTCTTGGTTGGTTAGCTTTATTAATGTGGGAGCAAGAGTTGTTAGCCCAAATGATAATTTCTTGTTGTTTGGTGCCAATTGTAAGGAAGATCATCCTGCTGTGAGATTATTTACAAAGCAGTTGTCTTCCAAAATTGAAGAAATTGAAAATAATACCTACACAGTTTTGGGGATGCAAGTAACTTTTTCATTTGAACTGGTTCCATCTGACATGAAATTCCTCTCTTTCATTAATGGAGAACTTAACAATGCTGCCACTTATTTTTCAAGCTTTGCAAATGTATCAAAGGAAGACTGCATGTCATTAAAAGGTAAATTTGGCACAACTCCAGATTGCAAATGGAAACCATGGCCATACAAACAAAGACTGAACATGGCTAAGCAGGTTTTAAAGTTTAAAGATAACCTTCCCTCCAACCTTGCAAAGTCCACACAGAGAACCAGGATAACACGATTCATTGCAAACAAGAATTCTAGGCAAGAATTTGACCCTTTAATTGGTAATCTTTGTGATAAAGAAGTTGTGGAGCCCCTCCATTTAAAAAATAATGGAGTGCAACATCTGCATTCAATGCTTTTGGACTTGGCAATTTCATCGAGTAACCTCCCAGACAAAATCAGCAGCTTGTCAGATTTACCCCCGTCAAGTGCAATTTCCAGATACTTAAAAGCATTAGAGTCTGATGTGAAAGCTGGGCGCCTAAAGAAACAACTAGAAAAGTGGATTTTAGAAGACAGGTCCAAAGACAAGGACTTTTCCTACAGACTCACTGGGAAAGACTCTAAACTTGTTCTGCATGGTTTCATGTTTCTGGTAGAGGCAATCAAAGGGGATTCAGAGGACCCTACATTACTCATGAAGCTGATCTACAATGTCTTTATAGCAATCAAGTTGAGAGACTGTGCTTCAAGGTTCTCTATGTATCATATCACTCATCCAGCTGTCCAAGAGTTGCAAAAAATAAGTCATGATTACTTCAAAGCGGTAGTCCTTTTCAGTGGAAAAGTTTCAGGTACAGTCTGGAGTATTGGGCATCTAGCTCCAGTTCATACGCAGTGGATGTTTGACAAATATGGAACTGGTCTTGGTGTAAACACAATGCAGGGAAGGGAGGCAAAGCATGTCCAGATTGCTAGTTACGCGAAAAGCAGTCTTTTCAAAGAACGCTGGCCCCAAGTGTTCCGACATGACTACATCAGTAAACTTTGGCTGCCTATTTATCAACCCTCCCTGTTGACCTATCACCAGGCAAAGGACAGCCTCATTCCCAGTCGTGTGACAAAAGATCCACTACATCACTGTTATTGTGGTTTTGCTAAGGCTGAATGCAACGAAAAGTGCTACTATTGTGGTCATCAATTCATGGCTGAAGTGACAAGGTCAGTTAAGGAGGGAAAGCCCACCAAGGAGTGCCTAAAGTATATGTCATGAGTTAAGTCAAGACATATACAAGACATATGAAACTTAGTATGCTTCAAAATGCACTCAGTGTTCTGAGGATTAAGTTGAACCTCAGCTGCTTAAGAATTAACAAAATAACTGATGTTTTTTATGCTTTGTATTTCTCATGAACAAAGAGTTGAGAAAAATATCACTTTATTAACTGTAACTGTAAATATTGTAACCCAAGTTTCTCTGTTTACATATTGCTCATAACCATAGAGTCCAGTTTCAGTGCTTTCGATAATGGTTTGCCTCATTTAAGTTTGATGAACTTATAATCATATGGAGGCAAAACATAAGTTAAAAGTATTAATTATTTGATTGAGTAATACTGAATATTTGATATGGTTCCACTAACATGGTGTCTAAAACTTGAGTCAGCCTGACACATCCAGCCATTTTTTTCTACTCTGTGTTTGAAGGGCCAACACCATTTCCATGTAACAACAGTTAAGCAATTTCGATATTCGAAATAAACCAGTGACTTTCTGTATTCAGTGTTGCCTAATGCCAAACGAATTCCAGTAGCCATAGTGGAATTTTGCTTGCAGACACTCTGCTTTTTCATTGTAGGTCATCACTCCTTTTTTGTCTTCACTGACAATGAGCTTGGTTTGTCCCTTTCCTTCGCCTAGCTGCTTGATAAATTCACCACAGTCTTCAAATTGGTCAAATAAATGACATAGCCTTCTCAGACTGAAAAAAGTAATTTTAACAGACCCTGGCTTTTCTTCAACTTCCACACCATACCTTGTTCTGCCAAGAATCTCTTTTTGTAAAAGGTTAAAAACCTCTCGTGCCATGGGGAGATGGAAAACGAACATCCATGGGTGCAATTTACTCATCCTTGGAGACAGCCGGCGATCAATGGCAGATTTCGCCCGGATCATACAACGCTCTAGCATTGGGTATAGTTCAGCAAGTTTATGTTTAGGTCGCTCTCGAATCCCTCCAAAGTTTCCTTTCACAACTAACTCAGAAATATGGTTTAGTTGGTTGAATGTGATGTCCAGATCTCTTAGTTTATGTGCATTTGCAATTCTTCGCTGGAATGCTGACTTCTTATGCCTAAGAGCCTCTTTGATTGAATATATCAGTTCCTCTTCGGTGGGTTCCGCCATCTTGGATTTAGTTAAACTTAGCCCCAGGTTATGCACGGCCAAATTGAAAGTTGGCCCAATTTCGAGCAATAATTTCCAAGCGTGACTTAAGATTGAAGAATTAATAGATGAAGCTTATGAGTTAGTTGATATTGGTTATGTGAAAGACGTATATGATGAAGTAGAGTTAAAGTTGAATGATATAATGAAAATGGTATCTGAGATAAGATATCTACTCAGGGAAAAAGATAATATAGACTAATAATAAATGGAGGCCAGATTCTTTTCTGAGATAGAAAAAAAGATGGATGTTAATACACTAAAAGATTTTGAAAAAGATGTACGAACACAAATAAATAATGAGTTTGAGAGTCTTAGAAAGAAAAATGATGATCTTTCTAGAATACTAATGGCTGGTGAATGTGAGATGTGGGGAAAAATCAGAGATGAGGACTATTCTTGGTTGAAAATAAATAGTGATAAAAAGAAGAAACTTTTTAGACTTATTAATATTTACTCGAAATTTGATGAAATAGTTGATAGTGTTAAAGATTTAAGTGTAAAAGTTGAGAGTGTTAAACAGCTAAAGAATTTACCAGATGAGTAAAAAATGATTTAAAGATTAAAAAAGTAATATATAGATAATGGAAGATCATTTGGTAAACTTTTATGATGAAGAATCAATAAAAGATTACAGTACATTACAGAAACGCGCCCATTGAAAAACGTCGCCCGTGAAAAGTGGGGTACCCATTAGGCTTTGCGAGCAAAAACGAAGTTTCAAAGACTTCCGTCGTTTTCAGTCTCTTATGAACTTCATAGCGGTTAACTATTCTCACACTTTCAAGAGACAATGCAGAAACAATAGAAGTAGGTTGCCATTGTTTTAAGTGTTGAAATGTCTTTGTCATTGCTACAAAGAAGAAAATGTTTATGCAAAGAGAAGCATTTTTCTTCCTCGTGCACTAACATAAAATCCTCGCGAATTCGGTAGTCTCGTGCGAATCGTTTTGATGGCAAAACAGTTAAAGCTAATCAGAAACCAAAGTATTCTTCACTTAAAAACTCATCTTCACGAAAATCACTCGATAAGATTGAATAAAAACGTTTGCAGCGTTTATAAATATTATTATCAGAAGCGGTATTGTAGTTGTTTTCAAGAGACGGATTAGATCGCTGTCTAGGTTTGGCCGTTGAATATGTAGTTATAGCGTTCTTAAAGAAAGTATCGCTCTTAATTTTGCCTTATACTTTGCTAAAATCAATATCTTAAATGAAGAATGTAAGTGAGAGTGCTTTTTCGTCGAATTTGCCCGTAAATTTTAAGGTTTATAATATTATCCAAAACCCGTGACAAAATGTAAACAAACTATTAACGCATCGGTTGCGCTCATATTTCATCGATCGATTCGAACACCAAGAAGTTTGTAAAAGGTAGAAATTCATTTTAAGTCAGTGCATTGAATTATTTACGGCAAAATCAACAACAATCATCGAGGATTTTTCAATTTTGAAGCGTTTAACAGCAAAAAGTCACATGCTAATTCGGAGTAAATTTAGACAGTTTTTAAACAGACTGAGCTATTGTTAGTCGCGTGAAGTTCTATTCTTCATCGAAGAATAGGCAAATGTTGCGGATGTCTGAGCAGGAACAATAACCAGGAAAGGGATATACCCAGGAGATTTCTTGATTGACACTAAATTAACGTCATTTTTCACTTATTTGCATTTTCACGATCGACGTTTTTGAATGGGCGCGTTTCTGTAATGAATAAAATTCGAACTAAAATTATTAATGGGTTAGAGGAACTTAGAAAAAATAATAAATTTTTGTCTGTAAAATTATTTGATGAAGAAAGACGTTTATGGGTTTGTATTAAAGACAATTTAAAAGACTATGGCCATAATTTTCAAAATTATGGCCAAGGTAGTTCTGAAGAAAAAGTAAAGAAGTTAACTAAATTTATTACAATTTATGATTATTTGTGCGACTTACGTTTAAATATAAATTCCTCCAAAAGAAATTTTGAACGTATTAAATATTTAATAAATGAAGAGTAGAAGGTTATTACAAAAATAATATTTAATAAATATTATTTTTTATCCTCCAAAATACTCTTTTATAAAATCACTGTTGTCATTATCAAAATGTGGGTTATGTATTACATCTAGAATACTAGTACCTTTTTGTCGCTCAAACAGATAATATAAACACCAATAACCACAGAGAACAGTATTGCGATTTTGTATTTCATCCATTGAGTAAACTATGCGTTTTCCACAAGTATGAAAATACACCAGTGCTTCATTTGGCATTATCAAACCAAATGGATCGAAGTACTCAACCACTGAATCTACATTTCTATAACAAACCCAGTGTGTTCCAGATCCTTGAGTATCATCGAGATTGATTATTCTGCATTCTTTTCTAATTTTATGTGGTAGTCCATCGCGGCTATATATTCCTCTGAAATGCTTAATACCAAGTTTCTTTACCCAATCCATGAGGTCAAAGTTGGATAGTGGCTTAATTATAAAATTGTTCCTAATATTGGAATTGAGTTGAATGGGCTATTTTTTCCTGGAAGAAGTCCTTTGCCCTTGGACTTTTTTTTTTTAACTCCCATTCCAATTGGGTTTTTCCATGTACCGAAAAAGGGTGGTGGACCATAAGGATAACCTTCACCGTGTGTGGGTGGAGGAGGAGGATGGAACGTAAACATTTGCTGTATTAGATGATGATTGTCTATCAACCTGAAGCCCAGAGCCAAACATCTTAGATACTAAACTAATTGCCATTGGAATTCCAATAGATGCAAGAGTTCCAAGAAATCCTCCTTCTCTCTGCCTACGAGTTGGTTTTATAACCAATCGACCGCCTGTTTAATAAGCTTCGTTAATTTGATTTATTTGTGATTTGGTAAATTCTCTTACAAGAGGTGGTAACATTGGGAAAAACTGGGGGGGAATTGTAATTCCTTTTCCAAATATTTTATTTATTCCGAGTTCTCCAAGTGCAGTAGCAGCACCAGTTGCTAATGCAGGAACAGCTTTTGAAATTCCTTTTATTGCATATGGTAGTACTTTTGCTCCAAGAGATGCGAGTGAAGAAATAAGTTTCCACCATGTTTTACAGATTTTCTAATCTGAGTTACACTTATCTTTATATCTGATCCTGTGCCATTTGCAATAGATTTTTTTATGCTTCATGTTCCTTTACATATTACGAAAGTTATTGATGTTGGCGGAGTCTCGCTTTGGGTGAGCTCTGTTTGCTGGGACACAAATAATCACAAACCCATTATGGGATATTTTGGCCACGGGAAGTAGCCATAGTGGAATTTTGCTTGCAGACACTCTGCTTTTTCATTGTAGGTCATCACTCCTTTTTTGTCTTCACTGACAATGAGCTTGGTTTGTCCCTTTCCTTCGCCTAGCTGCTTGATAAATTCACCACAGTCTTCAAATTGGTCAAATAAATGACATAGCCTTCTCAGACTGAAAAAAGTAATTTTAACAGACCCTGGCTTTTCTTCAACTTCCACACCATACCTTGTTCTGCCAAGAATCTCTTTTTGTAAAAGGTTAAAAACCTCTCGTGCCATGGGGAGATGGAAAACGAACATCCATGGGTGCAATTTACTCATCCTTGGAGACAGCCGGCGATCAATGGCAGATTTCGCCCGGATCATACAACGCTCTAGCATTGGGTATAGTTCAGCAAGTTTATGTTTAGGTCGCTCTCGAATCCCTCCAAAGTTTCCTTTCACAACTAACTCAGAAATATGGTTTAGTTGGTTGAATGTGATGTCCAGATCTCTTAGTTTATGTGCATTTGCAATTCTTCGCTGGAATGCTGACTTCTTATGCCTAAGAGCCTCTTTGATTGAATATATCAGTTCCTCTTCGGTGGGTTCCGCCATCTTGGATTTAGTTAAACTTAGCCCCAGGTTATGCACGGCCAAATTGAAAGTTGGCCCAATTTCGAGCAATAATTTCCAAGCGTGACTTAAGATTGAAGAATTAATAGATGAAGCTTATGAGTTAGTTGATATTGGTTATGTGAAAGACGTATATGATGAAGTAGAGTTAAAGTTGAATGATATAATGAAAATGGTATCTGAGATAAGATATCTACTCAGGGAAAAAGATAATATAGACTAATAATAAATGGAGGCCAGATTCTTTTCTGAGATAGAAAAAAAGATGGATGTTAATACACTAAAAGATTTTGAAAAAGATGTACGAACACAAATAAATAATGAGTTTGAGAGTCTTAGAAAGAAAAATGATGATCTTTCTAGAATACTAATGGCTGGTGAATGTGAGATGTGGGGAAAAATCAGAGATGAGGACTATTCTTGGTTGAAAATAAATAGTGATAAAAAGAAGAAACTTTTTAGACTTATTAATATTTACTCGAAATTTGATGAAATAGTTGATAGTGTTAAAGATTTAAGTGTAAAAGTTGAGAGTGTTAAACAGCTAAAGAATTTACCAGATGA